AAATTAAAATAAATTTTAAATTTTTTAAAAAAAATTAATGACAAAAAAGTATTCCTAAGGAGCTAGAGAGGTCACTCAGCAGTTAAGAACACTGGGTGCTCTTCCAGAGGACCCAGGTTCAAATCCCAGCACCTACATGGCTGCTAACAGCAACTTCTAATGCCAGTTCCAGGGGATCTCATACCATCTCTGGCCTCCACGGGCAGATGCGTTTACTTACATGTAGACAAATCACTTATACGCGTAAAAAAATAATTAAAAAAAAAGTATTCCTTAATACTGTAAGCATCAAAAAAAGACAACTTCTAACTTGTCGTTTCCCAATAATTTCTAAATATGATCCTCAGATTTGACTATGCCTAAGAAATGTTGCAATCTTTATGACTTTGGCAGGTTTATAACTGAATTATTAAATGACATTCACAAGGTGGCAATATGTGTAATTCAACGGAACACAGGGGTGACACAAAGTTCGTAGAAGTTCCTTGAAGGCTTTAAAGAAAAACTTGGTTAAAGATGTCAGGATCAAGGCTCAGTGGGCATCATTGTTTTATGTACAGCTTTTAATGTTCCTCTTGACCGCAAATTTCTCTTCCACCTTTCTACTGAATTTAGAAAAGAATTACCATTTTTGCATTCTTTTGTTCAATTTCTAGCATTAGTCTTCCTTTCACCTTATTTTTACTAAAATTTTCATTTTCCGAGTGTGTGTCTTTGTATGTGTAGTTACTTTTTTGTTGCTGTGATAAACACCCTGACCAAAAAACAGCTTATGGAAGAAAGGGTTTATTTGGGCTTATGGTTCCAGAGAGATAAGAATTCATCACGCAGGGAGGCATGTCAGCAAGGGACAGGCGTGGCAGCTGGAGCAGGAAGCAGAGATCACAACTTCAACTGCAGGCATGAAGTAGGGAGGGCCACTGGAAGTGGGGCAAGGCTGTGAATTCTAAAAGCCCACCCCCAGTGATGTTCTTCCTCCAGCAGCACTGTGACTGCAGACCAAGTGCAGACCAAATAACTTGAGCCTAGGGAGTGGGGATAGTTCTTATTCAAACCACCACGTGTGTGTGTGCGTGTGTGTGTGTGTGTGTGTGTGTGTGTGTGTGTCTGTGTGTTTAGAATTTTTTCCTCTGCAGGGAGCATAGTAGTGCAAACATTCAAGAATCTAAAATGAGGATGATGTCACATTTGTATCAATAATAGAAAGATTTGGTGCCCTGGAAGTACTTTGTTTTCATACTTCAGTCATGAGTCCTAGATATTTGTAGTTTCTCGTCAATTTTAAGAAGAATAATTTAACATAATATTAGAATCCATATGAAAATTTTAATAATCTAGGAAATGCAAGTTTTATAGAGTCAGTGTTGTAGAATGCCATCCTCCCAGTATGATGGCAGTTGAACTGTCAGCAGCTGTGTTCCTGGTAGGAGCCCTGCACAAGATTAAGCCCATTAACATTACATCATGGAGGGCAGGAAGGGCTCTTAAGACCCCACCCCTCCCGAAGGACATACGAGCAATAATAGTGGCCATTATCCATGCATCACTGATGAGTATCTGAAACACTATAAGACTGGTTGAGACTTGATTTTTAGCTTAATTTAACTTTATTTTTTTATTATGTGAATGTGTGTGTGTGTGTGTGTGTGTGTGTGTGTGTGTGTGTGTTTATGATCGTATTGCCTGTGTGTATGTAAGTGCACTCATGTCATGCAATGCCAGTGGAGGTCAGAAGAGGGTGCCATATCCCCTGAAACTAGAGTTAGACTGTTTTTAACTGCTGTGTGGGTGCTGGAAATCAAACCTGGGTCCTCTACAAGAACAGTGAGTACTCTTAACCATGGAGCCATCTCTCCAGTTTTGTTAACTTAATTTAACTTAAATAGCCACTGTCTGCTGTCCTGGACCATTCAGGTGAGGTTTAGTACAGCAAACTCTCTTGGTCTCAAGCATTCTTATATACACAAGAAAAGGGCAACATTTCCAACAGTGTATTTCCAGCAGATATATCCATTTGAAGCTTCTTAGTGGCACTTTAACATGTACGTGAACTTCTAAGTATGCAGTTGATTCATGGCTGCCTTTTAGTAGTACCTTGTTAAACATTACAAATACCCATCATTATTTAGTCAGTGGGTTTTACCCACCTAGTCACAGTAATGGTGTTCTGTTTCCCCATGAATGACATATCACAGTGTATCAAACTATGAATTTTTTATATTGTTTATATCTGCAGCACTAGGGCAAATCCAGTCCTCAGCTAGTTTTGAAGTAACTGTTTAGAACAGGCACAGGTTCCTGACTTGAGAGTTTTCACTTTTTCTCTTACTGTTTAACTTCTCAGATGTCTCTTCTATTTGCATCACTGCAGAAGAATGCAGCTAGTGAGGAAATGCCATTGTTTACAATGATTATTGACAGAAAATACAGGGCTAGGCGAGCTATACATTCAATCAAAAATGGAAGTCCTGGTGGCATGGCCCTGTGTAGGTTGGGGGCATGGCACACCTCAGAGAGCTCCTCTCTCTTGTTTCTCTACCTTGAATGACCTTCACCTCTTGACATAGGTGGTGCCTCCCATGTTTCCTGAAACAGATTGGATAGGACGACTACAGATGAGGAAGCTAAGGATTCACACCCAGTGTGCAGAGGAAGAAGGGATCACTCTGTGCTTCTTCAACTCTGTAGACATCAGTCTTCTGCCTCCTCATACCCCATCATGAGCACTTTTTTTTAAGTCTGGTTAGTCACATACCCATCTAAGATCTTTTTGCTACAGAAGAAATGAGAAAAGGATATTGGGATCAGCTAGCTGTCTCTGCCACCCAAGTTTAAAGGAGTCGTGAGTTACGATTTCTTCCTCCTTATATTTTTCAGCTATACTCATTTCTTGTTTAAATGATGAGTTTAGACACTCTCCTAGTTTCATTGCAGTTCTGAACTATAAGGTGATGCTCTTTTCCCTATTTTTTAAGCCCTTTTCCCTGTTTTTTTTAAGCTACATTGATCTCTGTCATCACATTTTTCACGTGTTCCATAGCTAGTTTAAAATATATAGCCTGCAGAAAAAATTTAAGTCAAAAATCAAGATATCAAAACTGGTTCCTGGTGTTATTTCCCAAGATAGATCACTGAGCAGAAAGAGCTAATTAACTGGAGCTTTTCTTTTTACGGCTTTGACTCTTGTTTTTTGTTGTTTTTTAATAATTTTTAAAATTTTTTTTTCCTCTTTTTGAGACAGGCTCTCCCTGTATCTCCAGCTGGCCTGGAACTCACTATGTAGACCAGGCTGGCCTTGAACTCAGAGATCTGCCTGCTGCTACCTCCCAAGTGCTGGGATTAAAGGCATGTACCACCATGCCTGGCTTATTTATTATTTTTGTTTTATGTGTATGCCTGTATTGCCTGCATGTAGGTAAGTGCACCCGTGTCATGTGATGCCCTCAGAGGATAGAAAGGCAGTCGGACCCCCTGGAACTGGAGTTACAGACAGTTGTTAGCTGCCATGTGGGTGCTGGGATATGAACCCAGGTCTTCTGCAAGAACAGTCAGTGTTCTTAACCGCTGAGCTGTCTCTCCAGCCTGACTCTTGTTTTAAAGCAATCTAGCTGGCTGATAGTTTCTAAATACCCACTTTAAATATGCAACCCAGTTAACTTGTTCTGAAACCTTTACTGTCTGCTCATTTGAAAAAAATATTTATTGTAGACCTACTGTGGACCCAGCATTGTGCAAAACATAGGGCTTAGAGTGTCCATGGTCCCTGAAGGGGGAAATTAAATGTGTAAACTGGTGGGTAGTTACCCTAGTGAACGCTGAAGTGTCGTAAAGCCAAGTGCAGGATGCAATTGGCAGAACATCAGATCTGGTCCCGTGTGGGGTCCATGGCGCTGGTTGTCTGCTGTCCTTTCTAGGGTGGGGAGTTGAGTGAGGGAAAAGTTTCAGAAAAGGGGACACCCTGCAGTTGATCAGGGGAGATGGAGCCACACCTGGATGGCTGGACAGGGTTGTAGGCCACCATGTAGGTTATACAGGAAGGCTGTGAGAGGGGCTTTCCCCGTTGAACTGCACCTGATTCAGCTGCCACTGCTTTCATGGCACTTTTCATAGGAGAATGACTTGAATTCAGTATTCCTTCTTCATGCACATGGCCCTCCCTTCGCATTGTGCCAGTCATGGAATAACGTGGTCATTTTCCTGTCACCCTCCTTGTACCAAGTGCCCAAGGATGGACTCTTGCTGCCTCTGCTCCTGCTAACCCTCTTCCCTTCTTTGTTCTCACGTGTTGTCCTTACTGTTTTTGTGGTTGTCCTCCTTGTTGCTTGGTCTAACCTGACCCTTTAGCATCCAGCACGGAGGGCATAATAAATGTGTGCCATTGCATTTAGAATGATTGGTGCTTATTAGTACACCATGCATCTTTGCACGTTCCTGGTAGGGAGACAGTTTATACAAATGACTGTATATTAGGTTGAGAGTGTAAGCTTAAGGAATCTTAGAGGGAGAAAGCTTAATAGGAAGGTACTTTCAACATTTTTTTTTTCTGCCTTTGCTCAGAGATATGTTCTCAGTTAAATTGTGTAGATTCAGTAACCAAGAGGTAATTGGATATTGCTCCCGGAAAGATCTGAAGAGGTGCAGCTTTTGGGGCTTTTTCCTATTTAGTTTGTAAAGGAAAACAACGGAAAAAATCTTTAGAGTATATAAGTTTAAGTGGCTTTATTTAATTTTTTTTCTTGTTTGGTAGCCCATAGTAACATTTTTACCTGCTTTAATTGAAGGCTCTTGAGATCTGTCAACAAAGAAACTTCGTAGAAGAGACAGTTTATCTTCTGAGTAAGTATCATTTATTGGTTTTAGTGTCATAAACGGGAATGTGGTGGCAGTGTGACGTAAACTATAAGGATGGACATAGACTTGAACAAAGTGACAGATGTCTAGGCCTACTTTGTACAAAAATTTAATACATAGTAAAGGAGATTTCATAGCACACAGACTCAGAAGAATTGTTGGATACCCATCATTGAAATCATGTAGCAGTATGAAATAAAACGAACAGTGAAAGCCAGCAAAACTCCTCAGACCTCACAACAGACTAACATTGTAGATGGGTTGACAAGGGTTTTTTGTTTGTTTGTTTGTTTGTTTGTTTAAGGTGTAGTGGGATAGTATTACCATACTTTGGTAGAAAACAATCTTCATTACAACTCACATCCTAAATAACTAGAACAGGGAGTTTTGGAGCAAGAGGAGAACTTTATAATGTAATGTAACTGTCAGTCAGCCCTGGTGTCAGCTCCTACCTCCATGAGTGTCACAGTTTTTATACCATGTGTACAAGGCCCAGAACTTCTTATTATTCACATTCTTCCAGAACCCATGAGCACAGGGCAGGTTTTGCTGAGGAGTCCATGGGGAAGCTCGGCGCAGCTAGTGGTGGCACACAGCATACTGTTCACATGAGGAATTTCTCCAGCATCATTTCCCTGGCTGCCCACCAGGGTTTCCCACTTCATGGCTTTCTTTCACATGCCTCTTACTGTCATTGGCTCTTTGGCTTTTGTTGAAAATTGACCCAGATATCCTATTCTCTTTTGTGTATCTAAAAATTCATGGATGCTCAACAACAGTCCTAGATGACCCAATCATGGAATCTGCTTTCTATAGAAGAAATACTTGGACCTATATTTTGCTACTTGACCATGGTTTGGAATCCCTCTTTACAACTTCAAGTTGCTCATCCATTTATGTCTTCCAAGTGTTCCTCCAAGAAATGTTCTGTTTGAATACATCTTTACCATGTTATTCTGTCTTAGAAGTAATGATGATGTAATTCAAAATGTTTTACTTGTCCCTGTGTGGGACAAGGGACAAGGGTAAGGTAATAGACCACAGCCAGGCATTTGCTGGTCATCTGCTAACTAAGGCCTTCTAATGAACTCAACTAACAGCTCTTGGAGATTATTAAAACCATAGAGATGACTATAGATCAATGAGCAAAGAGTGTTAAAGGTAATTGGATAATACATAGAAGTAGAGCTGATAAATTGTTTCTCATACACATTACTGAAACTGTAAACTCAGTTTGCAGTTACATCTAAGAGAAGAACAATGCAAAGCCACCACAAAGAGGCAACATGATTCCCAAGGCCTTTAAAAGTCTTAACTGTTTCTGAATATGAATCCAAAAGAAATTATAGACCAGTAAGAAGGAAGGCAAACTCCAGTAGACCTGGTGCAAATTCCAGCTCTACCATTTAGTAGCATATGAACTTGCCATGTTAGAAACACTTGTACTTCCTGTTTTATAAAATAGTAGCATTAGTAGCATCCGTCCTAGAATTACAGTGATGAGTGAAGGATGCACTCCACTAAGGCACTTCAGTGAGTACTCCGCACAGGAGCACTCAGTAAACAGGAATTCTCTGTTTGACTTTGTCAGGGTTAGAAACTGCTGGTGTCGTACAGAAAACTAAGCTTCTGTTGTAGCTTTCAAACTTTGTAAGAAATTTTAAAATATGCAATTTCATGTTTAAATGAATAAGATATTTCTCAATTCCTCATCCCACCAAGGCCGAATGGGTAACAGCCGAAGTGCCCTCAAGATGATTATGGAGGAATTACATGATGTTGATAAAGCAATTGAATTTGCCAAGGAGCAGGATGATGGAGAGCTGTGGGAAGATCTGATTTTATATTCCATTGACAAACCACGTAAGCAGAGAAGCTGTCTGTGATTATAGGTCTTTGTTAGTATAGCCAGTTATTTCTAGAGGAAGAATTATCTCAGGGTACATTGGGTTAAAAACATGTAAAAGTGTACTAGTGAAAAGTTCTATCCCTGAGATCCATGTGCTGGAAGGAGAGAAGCAATTCCCTCAAGATGTCCTCTGACCTCCACACACATGTGCTCAGTGGCATGCATGTGCCCCCCATTATATATATATATATATATATATATATATATATATATATATATTCCACAAGAAGAGGAAAATAGCATGTTTAAAGATATAATAAAATTTTAGTTAATGGCAAAGCATCTATAATAAAGCTAGGAGTGTTCTGTGGGCACTCCCCCCATGCAGAAAAGGCCAGCATCCTTATGTGCATTACCTGAATGTGGTAAAGAGCAAGTGGTTACACAGCATATTAGCTGCATCCCTAGCAGGTTTTTTTTTCCCTCCTGCAGCCACACTGAATAAATGTCATCGCAATTAGTTTGGCTTGGTTTTGTTTGGACTAGACTCTATGAAAACATGTAATTCTTACAGGATGATGAACATACGTAAGGTATTGAATTCTGCTAGTCTTCTTTTCCTGCCCCATTTTATCAGCACAGTACTAGAATTTGTATTTGTTGGTACTCAGTTTGACCATCTGCATGAGGGGGTTCCCATGTTGGGAAGAAATCAGAAATAACAGAACCAGCAGTCTGAGTCAGTCTCTCTGTCTCTGTCTCTCTGTCTCTGTCTCTCTGTCTCTGTCTCTGTCTCTCTCTCTCTCTCTCTCTCTCTGTCTCTCTGTCTCCCCCCCCCACCTCTTTGAAGGCATGTACCACCATCCCTGTCTTCAGGTCCTCTTTTGATGATGCAAAAAATAAATCAGAAACTAGCAATGGTGGTTTAAAATCTCCCCACTGTTTTGTGATTTATTTATTTATTCTGTGATTTTATTTATTACTCTGTGATTTATTTATTTTTAAGTTAGGAAGGCTTTCTGTTCAGGTAAGTAACTTCATCTGAAATTTAGCTTAATGACTTTCTCTTTTGAAAATACCAAGAATCTTCTTTAGCATGATAAAGTGGCAGCTTAAAAATCTTAAGAAGTTAAGTGAGTCATGAACTTGGGAGCTTGGGTTCAAATTTGGGCTTGTTACTCACTAGCTTTGTAACCCTGGGTAAATTAAACACCCCATTTCCTTTGCCTGTACAATGGAAACACAACATTCTAACCTTGCAGAATATTCAAGAAAATATGTCATATCTGAGTGATGTGAAGTTCTCATTGTTAGCTGCACTCCTTTCACAATGCAGATTGTGTTCTGAAGGAGTGAACAGATATATGAACAAAGGTGATCATTTAACCTTTCTTAAAATATTCTCAGTTTCTCCTTTATGTCTTAGAGGAAGTTACTTCTTAAAGGTTTAGAAGATTTAACTTAAGATTGGTTCTTGGGAGTTTGAATGTTCATGCTTACCTTGAAGGAAATGGGTTTTTAGGTTACATTTGCTCTAAAGTTGCATTGTGTGCAAATACAATGTTTTAGCATTGCCTCACGTTTTTCTGTGGTTATTTGCAGCATTCATTACCGGCTTATTAAACAACATTGGCACGCATGTTGACCCGATTCTGCTGATTCACCGTATCAAGGAAGGAATGGAGATTCCCAACTTGAGAGATTCGTTAGTTAAAATTCTACAGGATTATAATTTGCAGGTAGGTATCCTGACACAAATAACCATGCTGAATATGTTGGTTCACTCATTTCTACATAAATATGTCTAAGGTATATGTTAGATGTCTGCCAGACATTTTCAACTTGATATTTAGAAAACGGTTTCAATAGAGAAACTAAAAGCATCACAGCTTAAGGAAGCCATTGGATTCTTCAGCCACCCTCAGATTTTCTCTTCATCTTGAGAAGACATTCTTACATGTATGTGGTAAATTCAGCATGAATTGAGGAGGACATGAGAACAGTTACAAGTGCTATGGTATCAAATGTCTCTAGAGAAAATAAGTATAGTGTCCAATTTGGAAGAGTAAAAAGTGTTTTTAAATACTTATAATTTTCCTTACAGCCATTGCCTGAAACATGCTGCAATCTAGCCAGCCTTTGTCTGGTTGCTACCATAGTAAAACTTTTAGGTCCATTAATTCAGAATTTGTGATAAGAAAAATGGAATGTACCAGGCCAGGCACGGTAGTGCACACCTTTATTCCCAGCACTCAGGAGGCAGACGCAGGCGCATCTCTGTGAGATCAAGGCCAGCCTGGAATAGTTTGCATAGAAGTTCCCGACCAAATAGGGATGCATAGTGAGACCCTGTCTCAAAAAACAAAGAAAAACAAAAGAAAAAGGGAAATGGAATCCATTATCTTCATGTAAATAATTAACATGCAAATCACTAAACATTCTAATCTTTTTCTTTAAAAGATTTAAGTAATTTCTATGTTTTAGGATGCTGGTAGCTTCCATAGTACTTGAACTGTTTGAAATACATTTGCTTTGAAAATACAGACTATGCTTTCTGTAATCAGTTGAAAATAGTTTTTGTTATAATAGATAAACTTGTTTCCCTAGAAACAGTGTACTTTTTCAGGTTATAAGAGGAGCATTATGAAACAAATTTGTCAGACCACTGGTCACTGTGAAGGGGGCAAAGTAGAGGATTCTGCTGAACACAGGGTGACAGCAGTGGGTGAGAGCTGTATGAAAATGAGAAGAAATTGAAGAAGACCAGTAGCATCAAGACATAAGGAGGGCCAGAGCTGGGGACACGAAGCTGTATCAGGAGTATGATACTGTTACATTAAAATTTCTATAGTCATCATGACCATGTTCGAAAGTAGGATGAAGCTAAAGGGGGTTGGGTAGAGAAACTGAGCATAGCCTTTGAGGAATCATCCAAATGGACACCTAGGGGCAGGCAAGGTGAACTACGAGCATCCTCAGTGAGTGTGACTATGGTATGCCTAGAGGACACAACTTGAAAGGAGAAGTTTTTCCTGTAGAAGGGAGGTGATCAGTCAGCACCTTCCCTCAGGAGCACTGAGGGACTAGGTTAGTGAAGGAGAGGTATGTATTCACCTAAGCCACAGAGACTGAGGATATATTCTACAGCATGTCAACCTCAGGCAGATATGTATGCCCAGCGGCCTTGGAAGTTGGTAGATGACCCAGGAGAAAGACAAAGGGGAAAGGAGTAATAATCTAGGAACGGGCTAATAAGTGGGGTCCGTGAACTGAGGGCTCATACATGTTACGCTTCCCTAGGAATGCAGGATGGTGATCCAGATGAGGAAGCCTTTGACTCATGGTTGGAATTGGACTTTGAGGACAGTGCCCAACCTTATAATCCTCTGTGACTGAGCACGGTCCTGTCCTGCATGTCCTTAGTCCCTGCCTCCCTGGGGTAGACCAGATATGCTGGAGGCTTCAATTCCAAATGTATCTCAAAGTGTTTTAGGCCATTTTGACACACCTCCACCTAACAGTAGGATCCTTAGACTGTTGCAAGGAGCTGGGCCTCTGAGGTGAAAACCATGCTCTCCTCTTGTCCCAGCCCCCACCATGTCTGCAGATCCCTCTCTCTAGGCTGTTGTCCAGACCTCACAGTCACTGCTGTGGTCTCGCTGCTCATTCATTTTTAAAAAATATTTTATTTATTGTTTTTATTTTATGTGTATGAGTGTATTGCTTGCATGTATGTGAGTGCGCCTGTGTCATGCAGTGCCGTGGAGGTCAGAAGAGGGCTTCCGATTCCCCTGGAGCTGGAGTTAAGGACAGCTTGTAGTGGCTATGTGAGTGCTGGGAATCAAACACAGGTCCTCTGTAAGAGCAGTCAATGCTCTTAACTGCTGAGCCATCTCTCCAGCCCCTCATTGTTTTTTTTAATGAACAAATTTGCTTAGTTCTGAGCCAGCTGGAAATACAAAGTATTAGATCTACAATGAATGTTTAACTTAAAAAATTATCTTCTAAATTGGCTATTAAATCAGTATTTCAACCTCTTAATTATAAAATATACTTAATTGTAAAATAAATTTCCCTATAATATATAAATACGCAGTTGAGTAATATACTAAGGAGGCCCAGAGTTACTCAATGAGGCCCATCAATCCTCTAACCAATGAATAGCTTCTCAAAGGGAGGGAAGGCGCTTGAAGGGAAGTGGCAGAGCCTGTGGAAACTGCCACTAGTGGCCCCAGAGGCCTTGTTTAAAAGATGCTCGGAAAATGTGTGAAGAATCCCTGAGAGGACTTCCTCCTCGTGTACGGGAAAGGCTTCAGAACTTTTTCTGTGGGAAAGGCTCCTCTTCTTCATTAGTGACCATTTGTTTATCTTCTTCAACCTATTTGGGATCATTCTAAAAATAACTTAGGTCTCTGTAGAGCCTTTTGCATTTCCCAGAAGGTTTTCATGTATGTACTTATATTTGTGTTGGTCTTTATTTTTATTTCTGTTTTATAAGCTGTAATTCATTTTGACAGGGTCTGACCTAGAATAAAAGATTGTGACCTGATTAATTCCCCAAATTTGGGGGAAATATTACAGATCCACAGATTTCCTAGAATTGAAGACCTTTTATGTACAAGGTGAGGCAGTCACTTCTTAGACACTAAGAACTCTTCAGAGGTAAAGGTCCAGGGTCATGTTAGTGAGATGGTGTCACATACCTTCCCAACACCCATTTTCAATATGGGGCCCTTTACTAGAGGTGCACAGTATGGCATCTTAAAGCTGTTTGTGCACTGAGAATGCACTCACCATTTGTTGTCTGGACAAAAAGGCAGAGAAAGTTGTAGGGGAAATTTGAACAACTTTTCTGAGTTTCCCATTTTACTTTGCCTGATGCATAGCATCTCTCCTCAACTGAAAATTCACAGAATTGAGCTTGTTCCATGTCTTTCATACAGTTTAAGGAAATGAACTATCTACGTGAGCAGTTTGTCACTAACCACTTTTCTTTTGCCAGTCTTAACTGATCAACATTTTCTCTACATAACAGTCCTATAGGAACTGTTAGCTCTGTTGCTCAGAGTGAGGCTGAAAAGGTCAGTCAGTGACTTGACCAGTGTGGGAAAGTGCTGAACGAGTTTCAAACTCAGGACCTCTGACCGAATGGTATGTTGTTTTCATCCAGAATGGTATTCACTCTTACAAGCAATCCCTAAAACATCTGTAATTGTAGTATATCCCTGGCTCTTCTCTAATGGTCAAATCTCTGGAGAAAGACAGCAAGCCTTTTTGAATTTGGTTCTAAAGAGTCAGGTAATGTGAGGACCCAGCACTGAGCTAAGCCTCTGAGCCCCCGTTGAGAGCAGAGACCTGAACTTGTGAAAATCAACATGTGATTTGGAGCAAGTCGTTTTACACCTGAGGCCTCTCTTTGCCCAGACACACTCAGTATCTCCAGGTCTATAAAATATCTTCTGGTCTTTAACATTTGCTGCATCCCCCATAATTTACTGCTTCAAAATACAGGCACAAAGGCACAAATCAGTACAGAGAAATCAGATCAGTGACTTCTTTCTGCTTGTCTCTTTTAGTGCCCACATGAGATTCTTTCTCATTCATGGTATATAACCTCTTCGTGGTTTTCCTGAGATAGTTTTTTTTTTTTTTCAGTATATATTTATTGAATTTTTGTGCATTTCATACAATAGAGATTAGTCATATTTAGGCTCTCTCCCCTATCTGCACCCCTCCTTAGCCCCTCCACTGAATTTCATGCATTCTGTCACATGTGTTAAGGCCTACTGAGTCAAGTTTGTATACCAAGATGTCCTTTGGTGTGAGTTCATCCACTGCAGCCTGTTCAATCTATCTAGTGTCATCCCTTTAAAGAAAACCAACTCCCCCTCACCCAGCAGTGATCAGCTGCCAAGAGTGCCTCAGCTAAGGTTGAGGCCTCCTGCCCATTGCCCCAGCTTTATGCTGGGTTTTTATCTGGTTTGAGTTGTGTGGGCCTTGTGCATGTTATCACTATTGCTGCAAGTCCAAGCAAAAGCCTGGAAGACTCTGTTCCCTTACGGTCATCCACCACACCTGACTCTTACAATACCCCCAACCCCTGCCTTCTGCAAGGGTCCCTGAGCCCTGGATGAGTCAGGTTTAACATAGGAGTCCTATCTGGGGACACACACTCTGCAGTCTCTTATATTCTACATGTTGGCCAGTTGTGGCCTTCTGTGTTAATCACTCTCTGTTGCATGAGGAAACTTCACTGGTGAGAGTTGAGAGATGCATTAGTATCCTCTCTATCCCCTCTTCCTCTATATTCCATGAGCCTTAGGTGTAGAGGTTCCACTGTAGGTATGTCACTTAGGGCTGGACATCTCACAGACACTCTCTGTGTGACCATTTGTGGAACTCTATCTGTTTCAGAAAGAAGCTTCAATGATGAGTGGCGAATGCTATGCTTGTCTGTAAATATATCCATATTTAGCATACAGCAAGAAATTAGGTTTGTCTATGGATGTGACAGACAGTGTTTTCTCTAGGATCTCTGAACTCTCTAGTCATGTGGCTATATTTTACAGTATGTGAATTCCCACCCATTGAGAGGGCTTTAAGTCCAATTAGATAGCTGTTGATTATCCCCAAGATAAAAGTGCCACAACTGTACTGATAGAGTTTGCTATGTTGGTTGTTGTTGTGATTATTAGGTTTTAAAGCTGGGTAGTATCATTAAGTGATGGCAGGCATACTT